ATATAACAAATTTAATAAAGTTAATAAAGTTAACAAATATTATAAATATGATAAATATAGATCATCGGTCAAATATGGCCAATCTGTCATATTTGTCAACTAAATCAGATGATCGCCGCAGTTACAGATCACGGCTTCAGCGCCTTGAAACGCTGAAATGGATCCTAAAAATAATAAAAATAATATAACCAAAAATAAAAGAATTACGGGCATCAGATCGATCTGAGCCACTGTCACGAATTCGAAAAGGAAATAAGTTATAAAAATTAAAAATCAATCAAAAAAAAAATAAATCTTATACTTGCAGAATGAAACGAAAGAAGCCTAAAGAAGAAAAAAGAGCGCAAATTATAAAAAATAAAGTTTGATCGCTCCAAATTCCAAATAACTTGGATTACTCTACTTTATTTTGAAAAAGAGGGTTTTCAAGTTAACTTTTATTATCGCGAAGCCAATAAAATTAATCAATTCGAAATTTATTCTTTTATTTTGGACAAGTTTTAGAGCATGCTTTTTGCTTTCATGTAATTTAATAGAAATCACGAAAGACTTGGCAATGAATTGATAATGTTTTCCTTTAATTATAGATACTAAGTTTAGAAATGACTTCGTCATTAATGTGTCATATCAATTGTCTCCCCATTAAATAACAAATTAAAGTTTACTTTTATGATTTGATTTGACACACATTAATTTTTAATCATATTATACATAATCACTATAATTGAAAAGCATATTTTAATAACCTTCAAAAGCTTCAAGGTTTCCATTCCAATATTGTAACAACCGTAATTTTTTAAGTTTCATCCATCTATCCTTCATTAAATTTTCTGACAATATCTCTTTAACGACTCTAACCGCCGAATTTAAGGCTCCAGAAATCCAACCATGATGTATATCGGTATGTTCCCCTGCCCAATAAATTCCTTCTTCCGGTCTCATTATAGATGCCATCAATTTTCCTAGTTGTGCGGGTGTAAACGCTGCAAAGTCTCCGATAACCGTTTTATCATTTTGCCAGACTTGTGCTTTATTATTCTTTTTACCCGGAATCCATTCTTCACGTGCTATTTCACCGTGAAGTATTACTATGTCCTTTAATGCAAGTTCAAACAGTTCTTCCTCGCTGTATGGACCGTATCTTAATGCATCATTCTCAAAATTATAGGATGCACAGAGGACTCCGGATCCATTTATAGGTAAACCAACGTAATATGAAGGATAGATCACTCTACGTATCGGAAGATCTGTAGTCGTGGCACCTCCGACAATTCCAATACCGGTCGTCGTGGGTTGTCCGTTATTTTCCCAGAAGCGTGACTTGAATTGAAGAAATATCTTTACTGATGGAATATAATTCAATTCGCGAATTGCACGTCGTTTGCCATACGATAATTCTATCAAAAAATTGATTAGATTCATTTTCGATTCTTCTTTAACGAAAAAAATTAAGTATAAAATAAAATGGAACTTAATAAATTAAAACTTACTTGGTAGATCCCAATGATAGATGACACCCAATGGAGGAGTGAGAATCACTCTATCAAAGATTTCAAATTCTTTCTTTTCCTTAGATTTCCAATATACCTTCACTTGTTTACCATTTTCGGCTTTTTCCAACTTGTAAACTTTACTATTATATCTCAAGTCAATCTTTTCCTTCCTGATAATTGGCAAAAAGGCATTTGGTAATCTTTGCATTCCCTTGTCAATGGTTTTCCAATTTATAGAATGTTTAGTGCCTTCAAAACCTTCAAATGCATGCGTTTCAGCAACAAAATCAACGAAACCCAAGTTAAACGCGCCTATTAATGAATAATGGAAACATATATTTACAGATGATTAACAGTTAAAAAAAAAAAAAGTAAAAAATAATACGTACCTGTGCCACTTGATTTTTGCATTTCAATGGCACCGATAATTTCATCATAGTCTTCCCATCTTGTTGGCAATCTTGCGGGAAGAAAGACTTCCTTTAAAAAAGAATAGATAGAATATTGATCATAATGCTTTAATAATTCAAGTCCCTTCGTGAAATCGGCATTTAACTCATTAAAGAAAGGCAGTAACGCTTCGCTCAAAAGACTCGTAAAATCGGGTGGGATTGTATCTGGGAAACCTAGCTGACTGGCTTCTACATTCCCAGAGAAATTTTTGGTCATGATTTTACCAGATGGATCTTTTTGTTCGTTGTAATAACTCAAAGCACTTTATAGTTTATATGAAATGTTATGATTTAATGTAAAAGATTAGATTATTGTTATAGCGACAACAAGGCCAATAATATCGATTACACACTTTGGATTACTTATTATAAAAGGAATAGTTTTGATCTCTTTTTCTGGGTCATCGTTCTTATTGTACTCGTTCAGGTATTCAATCGTATCAAAAACTATCTGATGGACGGAAAGATCTGGACGACCTTCAGTATAAGGCAATCTCATTGCACCAAGTTCCCCATACAAACGTCTTTCGTCATCAGGATCATCGGTAAAGTAATGGGTATGAACACGTCCACCAACACGATCTTGATATTCAAGAATGGTGATACCTTTTATTCCGGCTTCATTCAAGAGAAGAGCTGAGAATAGTCCTAATGAAAGATGAACAAAATTAATGATGATGTGTGCAAGATGAATTAATCAATCTAAATATGAAAATCTTGAATATACCAGCCATTCCGGCGCCGATGATGCATATTCCTAATGAAAAAATGCAAGTCAATATTTTACATTATATGAATCAAAACAATAAAGAAGCAATATGTGATATGTTACTTGGATTCTCGATTGGAGCATCTCGAGGAAATAAATCTGTATTTTCGTCACTAAGACTAGAAATTAATATAAATCCAGTTTTATTGATTAATGTAAATTACATAAATTACTGTAAATTACTAACCTTTTAACAAATTCATAGTAATAATAAGACTTCACATGAGCATTATATCTTTCATTAAGAACATGTTTTTGAGACCTGTTCTGGGGTTGAGGAGTAGTTTTTGCTCTTTTGTGCTTTCCTATGAACATAAAAATAGTGAGAAAATGAAGATTCCTTTCAATGAATTTTTTTTTTTTTTTTGAAATGTATACTTACGACCTATTCATATATAAAAATAGATAATGGAATTTAAAAAAGGTTAATCATTTAATTCATCTAAGTCATTTAAAACAAGTATTCATAAAAAAACCTTTAAAGGATATTAAAAATCTTACTTTGAGCAATTATAGCAAGAGTCGAAATAATAACTAACGTGATTGTAAAAATTAAATGAAATTTTGATAACATTGAGATTAATTAATTCGTTGGAAGATAAAATGCGAAGAGCGAGGATTTAGTTTGATTTGATTGCTATTTTATACCCTTTTTTTTTTCCTGAAAGATGAGATGTCAACTTAACTTTATTTTTTTTTCCGAATAAAACAGCTGAATGAATAAACCATATTTGGGAATATCATTGAAAATGTCGATCGGCGTAACTTTTGAACTCGGATCTTTACGCAAAATGAAAGCCATAGGTGGTGTAAAATTTGACACCTATCAATATTGTTCTATTTCATACGGTTAATCAAAGTCCAATTCTTACTTAGACTTACCTAAATGGGAAGGTTTGTTATTTTTATTTTTTTTGACATGATTACTGTAAAAAAATTATACGATACAAATCAATTTTTTAAATTTAAATAATGAATTTTCTAATTTATTCTATTCATTCTTTAAAAAGTTAAAAAATGATTTTTCCATGCAATGCATTCATGCAATAACAAATAATATCCGAGAATTTCCGAGAACATTTGTAGGATTCGGTAAAGCCATCCACATATTTTTATGGGAAAAAATTGTGCCATACTCGGAAAATTGATCCGAACGTTGCGTTTTTTATGTAGTAATTTATAATAAACTTTGTTTTTTTAATGGAACAAGAAATGACAGTTATTTACAAATGAAGTTTAACTTTATGTACGGTTAATCTCAACCCAATAGATTTATCTTACGCAAAAATGTAATCCTCATATCCGATATTAATCCGTTCCGATCATATCCGTTTTATTTGTTACAAAAATTTATTTTCCATTCAGCGACAATCATTTCACCGACAAACGTTTTTGCTAACAGGGTCACATTTTCGTCATTCTGTTAGGGACACACCGATAAATATCTTTGTTGTATTTATTGGTTGGGAATTGGACAATACCAATTCATATAAGGACATTATTTAAATGGATGATACATCTTAATTAGACAATATCCAAAAAATATCCAATTGTCAAATTGAATTATTTTACTTATTCGGTATAGTTAGGATTTTCACATGTTCGAAAATTAAAATATCACAATTTGTCGCATTTCGCCAATCAAAATCCTAATAATATATTCTAAATTTAAAAAAATAGTTTTTTATTATTTTAAATAATTATTTTGTAGATCACATAAAAATTAACATTAAAAATGGTCCGGTGTAACCTTAATTCTGAACAATTCCATGTGTCAAGATTCATTTTCGGCCGCACATTTTTCGGATATCCATTGTTCATAGTGAGTGATTTATGTTCAATTCAAATGTGACTTTTTATTTTACGTTAACAAAATCAAAAAAATTTTTAAACTAGTAAAAAAATAAATAAGTTTTTAATTTAGATTAATTTTATTATAGTTATAAATGATCGTCGAATGTTCTCGGAATTTCCTTTTTCTTATTTAATATTAACAATAAATCTCATTTTCATAAAATCTGATCATTAAATATAAAATTTGAATAAAGTATGTATGAATTGCCAAATAAGTTATGAATATTATCCCTTTAAATGGCAAAATTCTACATAGAAACTTATTATAAAAAAAGTTCATTTATTTTTATATTATTAAAAAATACTTTATAAAATATAAATTTCACATTTAAATCATTTATTTATTTATGTATTTAAATGTTTTATTTTCGAAAATTTTGTATACGTTTAATATTTTAATTATTAAAAATGAAATTTTATTTAAAAATAATAGATTTATAATAAATTTTATAAAGAAAAAACTTTTATAAAAAAATATTCAAAACTTGATCCTAAATTAATGCAAAAAGTTACTAATTAATATAATTTTTTTTTTTAGATTTTACTTAAAAAATATTAAAATTTTATTATAATAATATTATTTATATGAAAATTGATTTTTAATAGTACTTAAAATTCCTTTTAAATTTGAAAGCAAAACCATTGAATTGATAAGAATTTTTAATGTTTAGAATTTTAACTTAGTAATTCAACTGGTACTACTGATAAATCTTGCGAATAAAATATTTTGCATAAATAGACTTAGAATTTGAAATAATCTCTCTGGCTTATCCCTGAGGATTTTCTTTTGTGTTTCCTTCTTTCTTCCTTATCGTTTGAATTAAACTATATTGAAAAAATTGTCATCATTTTTATAAAAATATATCTTTATTCTTGATATGAATCTTGTTAATAAATTTCTTTTTAATTATTTTTACCTTTGCATTTATAATTAATATAATCATAGATATATTTCAAATATTGAATTTTATTATGAATTCAGTTCAAGCGATATATAATTAATATTAATAATAAATCTATTACATTTAAATTTATTAATATAAAGAATTACAATCCTATAAAAATTATACTTTAAATATTGAATTTATTATGGATTCAGTCCTTACGATAAACATTAATATAATAAATAAGAAGCCAAATTTATACATTTAAATTTATAATTTATACAAAGCATTACAAACCTCTTTCTCGTTCTTGTTCCATGAAATTCATGGTAATTCCATATTTATATAATTTTATAAAAAATCTAAAAATAATATTTCTCGCATATTTGTTAGCAGGTAGCCCTTTTGGTCGAAAAATACTCCTTCGCTGGTTAGCTTTTGAATTTTTATTTCCACTCACGTTTACTTCTATAGTTATTGTCCTATAAAAAGTTGATCCGTGTTTTGTTTTCCATGTTTTTCTGTTTTTTCTGTGAAATGCTCGTTTTCACGGGACTTTACTGAAGCTACGGAAAAAAGTGTCAATCATTTAGTAAATCTCCTGTCATGACAAAATAATGTTTCGCATGTGATATTTGAAAATGACTCGAATTTTGTGAGAAAAATTTTGTCAGATAACCATTAATTATAAGTTTTGCAATTATAAATAGCAAATCCATAAGAACTAACTAAATATTTATTATAAGTGACATTCCTGGAGAAATCGATTGAAAATATTTTCAGAATATAAATATGGTTTAGATATTTATTTTTAGATATTTATTTTAATTGTTTCATATAACAATAGATCTAAATATGTTATTCAATTACATTAATTGTTAAGATCAGGATTTTCAGTTTCAATTAATCGATTCTAATCAATATTATTTATATTATTTATGATGTAATGAATAGTTTTATTACTTAAATAGAGCTAGTAAAACTTAAACCAACAGTAAGTGAATATTCAGAGGTTTTCTCATAATGGACAATGCCATTATATCGCTTTCAATACATTCATTTCAATTGATAAACTACACGTCATTTTTATTGATAGTGTCGAATGCTAATTATTGGGATGGTGTTATCCGGGGGGGGGGCTAGAAATAAATCTTGAACGAATTAATTCGCTGTAAAAGGTAATAGTAAATGCTATTCACGTAATTAACTTTAATTATTCACGATTGATTTTTACGAGTAATTCCCTTTTTTTTTGTCGAATAAATTTTAGGATGCAAATAGCACCGGCAAATGAATAACAAATATCTTTATTGAACTCTTGGTTCATTCACAAATCCCTATCTTGAGTTATCTTTAAACTCAAGAGAAAATACGCTATTTATATAAAATAAAATAATAGTAATATAATGTGATAAAAATCATGCTTTATAAAAAAAAAGCTTAACCTTTATATCAATTCTTCTTCCTTAATTTCGATTAATCTTTACCATTTTCGCAAAAAATATGCCATTTGAAATAATAGCATTTATAAAAAAAAAAGTCTTTTATTATAATTCAGTAATAAAAAAAATGTTATTACCAAAGATAATGTCCGTTTTTCACGTGGCTAATTTCCAATTTCTTATTACGCAAACTGTTATGATAAGTTTATTTAGATATTAAAGTAATTTTTCAAATGAGTTAATTGCTACAAAGTCAAATGTATGTAAGTTGCAATATATCAATACTAATTATAAATCTAAGTAGTAATTTATAGCGAAATTTAGAAATTAATATATAAATATAAAAATAGTTTTATTATTGTATTATAATTAACTATAAAATTCAATATTAAACGCAAATAAGCTACTAATATTCATTATCGTGCTCACCCATATGATGTAGACGATCTTGTTTTTTGATATTATCAAAAATAAGCTATAAATTAAGTTTATTATATCGGAATAAGCTACATTAATATATTTTAAGCTAGTAAATAAAAATATACATATTATTATTTTTATACATTTGTAAATTATTAGTATTATTAAATATAAAATAAGTCATGAGGCATAGTAAATCATATGATCCGTAATGTGATTTTACTGGAAACGCTCCCATATATTACTGATTTTATTGATCTCGAGTTTTATTTAATTCCTGAAATGGATGACGAAATGGATCTTCATATCATTAAAACTTAATGTTTTAGTATCAAATCATTGTACTTATCTATTTTTTTTTCAAAAAAAACAAAATAATAAAGAAACATATAATTTGTAATTCGTTAATAAATGCTTAATCCATCTAGAAATGTTGTAAAGAATTTGGAGTTGATATATTGGCCAAGAAATTGTTGATGCTATAATTAAATTAATGCTTTAAAATTTAATAAATTTTAAAATAAATGAAATATTAAAATACCTGCTTCAAATATTATTATCAACATCATAAAATCACACGATAATATCGTTATTGTATTAATTGGTATTAAATTTAATTTTTTGAAAATTAAGTTTAAATTTTGAAAATTTGAATCAATCAAATCACCTTATATTTTTTATCATTTTGATTAGAATATTTAACCACATTTACTTCAATCGAGCTGTTTTCAAACTTTAAAAAAAAAATCAATAATCTATGCTTGATAATTCCGACGCGACGCAGTAACCTTTTAAGACAAATCTTAATTATGACATCATCATTTAACGTTGCGTGTTACTACAAACACATTATCTTAAAACTTTAAAATTTTTTAACCTTTCCCACATTACTCATGACGCTTATACTTCCACTCGAAACTTTTCAGCTTATCCTTAAAGATGTTGATACATTCATCTTTGCTCGTAAATAAAAGCTGGTGCAAAAGTACTGTCGCTTTGATTTGGAATAGCCATTTAGTTTATTTACATCAAATAAGGATGTCAAAAGTTATCCTATTCTTCTTTCAAATCTCCCTTTGGAAATAAAGACAGATTTAAAACTTGAAAATATTCCAAAATACACTACTTTCGACTATGGATGGTTTATTCAAAAACTTGATATTTATGCCTTATTCACCGCCGTTCACTGGTGGTTATACCAAACTTATCCAGAAAGAATTTTGATTCCAATTATGAAACACCGTAATCTCAACCACTGCCTATTGAGGATAAAGCACAAAACGAAATAACAAGATGTGTTAAAGCAATTTATGAAATGATCCTTACAAGAACAAAGGGACTGGAAAAACTAAATATTATAAGTTCTAATAGGTTGGATTCGATGTGTTATTATTTTATGAATAATATTTTCAAAAATCTTTTCACATTACAAGAAGCACAAATCTCTTATAGTAAAATCACAAAGATGAATCTTGATGGTAGTTTTAACTTTCCTTTCACTGAATTATCAAATTTTACAGAAAATATCATGGAACATACTATTAAATATGATTTGTAAGTTGGAATTGGCAAAAGAAATGGTGGCATTCATTGTTGCTCAGCTCAAAAAAGTTTGGAATATTTGCATCTGAATCTTAATGGCATGAAAATGAAGTACACAGAAATTCTATAAAGTACTTGGCAATTATTCCTAGACTAACAATTTATGAGGAAAATGTCGATTTTACCCTATTATCTCAATTATCGAGACTTGAAGACTTGCATATTGTTAATTTTGATCTTTCTTTTAATCACATTTGATATCTTTAAAACCATCTTTGATTGTTGTTCACGAATTCAAGAAATCACCGTAAGAATGACTTATTTAAAAGGAAGTTATATTTCTAAATTTACAGAAATCCTTTCCAATTCTTTAATATTTCCTCAATTGAAGGAGATATTAGTTTTGACAGTTAAATTGTAATAATGATTCATTAACTTTCATGTATAGAGGGTATTCTGGGTCTGATTATATAAACATTAGGATTAAAGGGATGTTTGAAATAAGTAAAAGGGCACTAAAAGAAGTCAAGGTTGAAAGGGAGTGAAAGAAAGGTTATAATTAAATGGTAATCGATGTATTCTGTGGGTTGAATAATTAAAGATTTGCTATATTATAAATCTATTGTGTGGAGGGTACATTTACTTGATTACGCTATTATATCTAACGCAAACTATATTCTTTTACATCATTTAACCCAGTATCGACAAAAAAGTTCACAACACGTGACTTTGGCCGGCATTACGACATTAATAAATTAACCTTGTAAAATCAAAAAAATCATGAACATATAGGATCGCGTGACGAATTCCGCGGAATATTAAACAATCCTTATTCATTTGATTATTTTGTTCAGATTTTCGAGATGAAAAAAAAATCAACACTATAATGTCATTATGATTCAAATGACTGGAAATCAGGAAATTGGAAATAAGGAAACAGAAACTTCCTCGGCGTACCATCAGCTTCAACAGCAACTTGCGACACTTGAATATAATGAAACATTTACTTCCGAATCAATTTTACTTATTCAAAAACTTCTCGAAGATTTAGTTATCACTGCAGAGATTTGTCGCTCTCATCAAGGAAAATAATCAACTTCATATTGACTTAATTCACGCGGCTGACATTCATGATAAAGAAGATGTGAAAACCAAGA